TATATATATATATATATATATATATATATAATAATGATATCTATATGTAGATTTATAAAATTATCTATGTATACATGAAATCGCAAAAATGATTCTACGATATTGTTAAGGTACTTCGTTGCTTTAGAATTTATAATTTTTTTTAAATTAAAAATAAAATAAAGTAAAATCACAAGCTAAAATTTTGATGGGATTATTTGTTTAGTATGAGGAACTATATATCGCTAGAGGGCTTGGCTAACAATTTTTGAACTTGACAAAACTAATAAATTTTGTGAAATTAAATTTTTTTTTAAGTTATTATTATTTCATCCACAAAATACTATATATTAAAAGATTGTCAATCATTGGAGTAACAGACTCTTAGACAGAAAAAGAGAATTTGTTTTATAGTAATCACAAAGTACCCACTGGAGTAAAAAAAATTATATAGAATTATATATGACTCATATATAATTGTCTATGTATTATGTTTGGGGCATTCCACGTCAAATCGGACGGTTTCGAAAATTTAAATTTTAGATATTCTCAATTTTTTAGTATTTTTTAGTACCCCCCAAAGAAGGCCTTCTGATAAATTTTGAGATTTTTTTGATCACTGGTTTAAAAAATATCGAATTTTCAAAAAAACCGCTCTTTTTTTGGATTTTTGCTCGTAACTTTTTAAATAATGGTCCAAATTCAAAATTTTTTTTTTCAAAATTTTCGTTTTCCAATGCCCTTTTCAGAAAAAAATAAAAAAAAAATATTCAAATTATTTTTCATTAAGATTTTTTAATGTTATGTTTTTAATCGGGTTTTCCAAATTGTGTGCATCCGTTGATTTTTTTGAAAATTTGTTATTTTGAACTTCTATCTTTCCTTCAACTTTTAAGCCCGGTCGGGTAAAGGTCCTTACATAATTACTATTTTTTATCGATTTTTAAAAATTATAAATTATTATCAGTACCGATTTCTTAAACTCTGTACTTCTTTTTTACTTATAATAAATTAATTTTGATATATTTTTGCCCCAAATAGGAATTTTAAAGAAATAATGAAAGACTAATTTTATTTTCGAGTAACTATTAACAACCGTTTTTATTTATTTTCGTGTTTTTTTTTAATATTTTACATAAACGATCGTTTTGTAAACTTGAATACTCCTTAATTATTATTGTTAAGTATGAAAAAACTCTACAGAATTTGTCGAAATATTATTCTCTGATCTAAGTTAAAGTCTTTGTTGTGATAATAAATATTAACAAAATTCATAAAGTTTATCAATTGTTATGGAGCTCCATCCGAAAAGTAAAAAACTTTAGCTGCATTGAGGTCTAATTCTTTTATAAAATCGGTAACAATCTTCAGAATCACATGAACGGTGACAGTGTCATGGTTATTGTTATCAGATATGATGACTAAACTTCAGTGAATAAGTTCACCGTTATGTTTGAAATAGATTACAACAGGAAAAATCGTTGCTTGATTATTGTTCCAATGAAACCCTGGCACTGCATCTTGTATCAAAAAAGCATAATTTTCTGCAAAATCGCAATGGCTATGACCTCATGATCTTGCAACGATTGTTTTGTTTTTGTTTCAAAAAAGCCGATTATTTTTTAGCAACAAAATCATGCAGTAGTAAATTTTTTATATGATCAGAGAATATTTCGATAAATTCTGTAGAGTTTTTTTATACTTAATAATAATAACTAAGGAGTATTGAAGTTTACAAAACGATCGTTTATGTAAAATATTTAAAAAAAAACACGAAAATAAATAAAAACGGTTGTTAATAGGTACTCGTAAATAAAATGAGTCTTTCTTTATTTCTTTAAAATTCCTATGAGGGGCAAAAATATATCAAAATTAATTTATTATAAGTAAGACCAGGGACTTCGTATGGAAGGGGTAAAACAATTGATGCTCGTGCGTTACCCCTTCCATACGAAATCCCTGGCCATAATTATAAGTAAAAAAGAAGTACAGAGTTTAAAAAATCGGTACTGATAATAATTTATAATTTTTAAAAATCGATAAAAAATAATAATTATGTAAGGACCTTTACCGGACCGGATTTAAAAGTTGAAGGAAGGATAGAAGTTCAAAATAGAAAATTTTCAAAAAAATCGACGGATGCACACAATTTGGAAAACACGATTAAAAACTTAAAATTAAAAAATCTTAATGAAAAATAATTTAAATAATTTTTTTTTTATATTTTTTTCTGAAAAGGGCATTTGAAAACGAAAATTTTGAAAAAAAAATTTTTAATTTCGACCATTATTAAAAAAGTTACGAGCAATAAACCAAAAAAAGAGCGGTTTTTTTTTTAAATTCGATATTTGTTGAACCAGTGATCAAAAAAATCTCAAAATTTATCAGGAGGCCTCTTTTGGGGGGTACTAAAAAATACCAAAAAATTGAGAATATCTAAAATTTAAATTTTTGAAACCGTCCGATTTGGCGTGGAATGCCCCATATACATTTATATAATTCTATATGAATCATATATACCTCTATATAATTATATATGAGTCATACATATAATTCTATATAGTTTTTTTTACTCGGGTATGCCATTATATGAGTATCGCAAACTACTTATGTACTGATAAGGGTATGACTATATCAGACTATATGAATCCATATCAAGTTTTATCAACCCTGATCAGGGATTTTTTTCAAGTTTATTAAAGTATATATAACTTTATAAGGTTATATCAGGCTATATCAGGACCTATTAAGAAATGATCTAAAATTATACATGAGCATATCAAGCTGTATCAAGTCTGATATCGACATATCAAATTGATAAGGCGTGATCAGGCCTGATATGGTCAATTTTCATATCAAGTCATATTAGAACATATCAAAAATTAAATATGGGCATATCAGCTCATATCAAGCCTGATCAGAATATTTTTTCACGAGCATACATTTATACTGTTTAACATTAATTATATATATATATATGTTTAACATTA